GTCTGACAAGAAAAAAAAAGTTACTTGAAGAGAACTAGTTTATAAGTAGAATTTAAAATGGCTGACAGGAACTGCTAGAACTGCTAGCTTTACCTAAAGTAGATAGAACAACAATGACTGAACTGAATTCAGATATAGTTTATATGGAAATAATTATATTACTGTAAAAGTACTGCGATGTTTTTATATAATAGATAGCCTAGTTACTTAAATATATCTTAGGTCATTTACATAGTTAAATTATAATATTAAGCTGTAAGGTTTAAACGCTCCACATTTAAGATTCACGTGTATTGACTCTCTGACAAAAAAAAAAAGAAAAAAAAAGTTACTTGAAGAGAACTAGTTTATAAGTAGAATTTAAAATGGCTGACAGGAACTGCTAGACGCATGACCTTTACCTAAAGTAGATAGAACAACAATGACTGAACTGAATTCAGATATAGTTTATATGGAAATAATTATATTACTGTAAAAGTACTGCGATGTTTTTATATAATAGATAGCCTAGTTACTTAAATATATCTTAGGTCATTTACATAGTTAAATTCATGAAGATAAATCAAAACGAAAAATTCAAATGAAAACATGGCTCTGAAATAAATAACCACAACATCTCTGTACTTTTATTGCACTTTTTAAAATGCCTAGCACCTCATGTTTCATCGAGAATAATTTGACATACATTCTCATTTAAAGCAAATACACACGTAAAATAAATAAAAAAATAAAAAAATGATAGGACACTGTGAATGGCTTTACCATAGCAATAATTAAAGGTACAACCAAGTACATCAATATCAAAAACGCAAAATAAAACTTATTGTTGACATTAGCAAATACCCCATATATCAACTTCAAGAACCACAACCTGAAAATCACAGACTTAAGATACTTAATACAACAAGGCAGATGTTTCTAGAAACAACTTTAAGAAAATCCATTTAAACTGCAAATAATGTCCTAGCGAACGAAACCATGGCATCCTCTAAAAATAGTCAGTACTAAGCTTGATTGACAGTCACCATGTGGCACAAAGCTGGATGTGCAACTAATATCTCTGCTGCTGATTCCCTTAAAAATACATCATGGCCCAGCTGGGTCACCACTCTAATGCTATCACAGAATATTCTTGGCTTTAATAAAACCACTGCACCATTTAATAACCTTTAGAAATGAAATGTCTTAAGTCAAAAGCAAATGAAAACGTATTTAAATTGCTTAAAATCTGTCCCCTTCCTTCTTAATCTCTCAAAGTGAACATCAAATTTGGTATTGCCACTCTCTTTATTAGTTAGAAGAACACGACAAAGCATCATTAGAAAGCAGTGCACTGGCACATGGGTACAAGAGCACGAAGCGTACTTGCTTGTTTCCACAAGAGTGCCTTGAATTGGAGGGACGAAGCCCAAAGGGTTTTGTCTACTGAAACAAAGTCCTTATCCAGATATGATTTCAGAAAACACAGTGTGAGAACAGTTGAGCCCCGAAATATCTCCAAAAAACAAAACTACACAGGGTCTTATCCGTGTAGTTTTGCTTTTCCCCTTGCAATCCCTACACCCGAGGCAAGGCTGGGAATGCTCCAACTACTCAGAAGTGTTAACATGGTGGTTTTACTTTATATACCCCTTGGCTACTGAGCATCATCACTACATTGCCATGCCCCATTGGCCGTCCCCCCATGAGGCATCATGGGAGGTAGCAGCCATTTTTTTTGCAAGCTCACACCTGTCACCCACTTTACTTAACACAACGCAGGACCCATTATCACAGGGTGGCTGAAACCCCCACACCTAAAGAAACAGGAAAATGCCCCTCATAAAGAGAGAAATCCTCACTGGCTTTATCTCATAAATTAATCAGTCACTGTAACATGTTGATCCTCAAGAAGTGAAGAACCAAATGGGCGAGCAGGGCTTTCACTTTCACTCAGGCTCTGGGTGGACAAGATAAAGGTCTCCAGCCCAGATCACAGACAGTGTTTACCCATCTGTTTTTCTTTCATTTATCTGGTAGAAGTGATTATGTTAATGCTTTGAAAATCAGAAAAGAAGCTGATGTTGATTATGAACTTTACCATTATTGTGGGACCAAGTTGGTTTTGCAGTGAACTAAAACTGACAGAGGAGACCATGTTAAAGACAGGCAGTGACATGTAAAAGTGAGTGACGTGAAAAGTGACGTGACATGTGGCCAAGTATGGTGACCCATACTCGGAATTAGTGCTCTGCATTTACCCATCCTAAGTGCACACACACAGCAGTGAACACACACACACCGTGAACACACACCCGGAGCAGTGGGCAGCCATTTATGCTGCGGCGCCCGGGGAGCAGTTGGGGGTTCGGTGCCTTGCTCAAGGGCACCTCAGTCGTGGTATTGTATGAGTGGAATGCATGACTATAGTGATAGCATTGCAAGTGTTAACTTTCATGAGACAACAATCTAATGACAAAATGTGATACAGCTATAACTATAACAATTTATATAGCTTTATGTAGCTAATTTGTCTTCATTCATAACTCATACACAAATACTTGAAGATAATCATATGTGGGAGTTATTTGATAGTACACTCTAAAAAATGCTGGGTTAAATACAACCCAGTGCTGGGTAAAATAGGGACAAACCCAGC